CATATTGACAAGTGTATTGCGATCAGTGACTTATTTATAACTTGCTATGTGGGATTTAACTAGCGACAAAACAACACGCTGTAGTACGTTTTTAAGTAGTTTGATGGTTTCTTACTAGTTAAATTACAAGATAAATTCAATTTGTGGTATTTTAAAGAAATGGCTTATGACGTATATTGTGTATGATGTCATAGTCAAGTTTTCCCGTACAAATTAGGCTCCGCCTCCTTTTTGTAACCTTAACAGTGCTGCGAATCAAATGTCCATGGAGAACTTCTTACCACTATGTGCAAATCAACTTATTTACGGATGTTAAATGGCAGATTTCTTGGTGATTCCTTGAGTTTCTATACTTTTTTCAATTCTTATGGCAAAAGTACAGTGGACTATATGTTAGCCTCTAATACTTTGTATCACAAGATTATTTATTTCAATGTAGATGCACCAAATGAATTGTCTGATCACTGTATTATTTCTACTAGTTTAAGATTAGAGAAGCCATATTTAAAACTCCAGAATGATCTTGAAGAAAATTGTAACCCTATTGGTGGTAATTTTTTGTGGTCAGAAGACTGTAAAGACAAATATATCCAAGCCTTAGTTGAACCAGAATCAACAACTAGTATTATGAATCTTTATACAGACTTGGATGATGAAAATTACTCAGATATTGATGCATTAGTCCAAAAACTAACAACAATTTATATTGAAGCAGGTTTCAAAACTGTAAATTTTAGAGGATACAACAAAAGAATGTGTAGACGTACAAAAAATATCAAACATAAGAAAGAATGGATGTCAAATAACTGCTTTATGCTGAGAAGGGAGGTTAGAAATCTTGGTAAAAAAACTTCAAAAATCACCAAATAATTATTTTTTACTTCAAGCATTTAGACAAGCGAAAAAACAATTCCATAAAATGTGTAAGCAATTAAAATCTGGTTTCTATAAAACTGTAGCTAACACTTTTAATAAACTGACCCCAAAATGTACAAAAAAAATTTGGAATTCTTTAAAGTCAAACATGCAAAATCAGGTTGAAGCAGAGTCAACCATTAAAATATCTCAATGGGTTGACCATTTTCATACTCTATCAAATTCTAACGAACATGGCATAGGTATGGATATTAATTGTGAAGTTGACAAAAACAAACCCCTAAACTTTCTATTTACACCTAAAGAAGTGCAAATAGGAATATCGAGCTTGAAATCTGGAAAAAGCTCTGGTTTAGATCTTATTCCAAATGAATTTATTAAAATAAGTTCTAATATTTTCGTGCCTATACTGGTTAAACTTTTTAATAAAATTCTTCAGAATGGCAGAATGACAGAATTATGGAACCTCTCATTGATTACAACTTTGTATAAATCTGGAGATCCAGGAAATTGCAATAATTATAGAGGATTAAGTGTAACAAGTTGTCTCGGTCAACTTTTTAATAGACTCCTTCAAACCCGACTTAATAATTATTTAGAATCAGAAGGGTTGTTAATTTGTTTTCAGGTATGATTTAGAAAAGGATATCGTACAACAGATAATGTGTTCATCCTCAAAACTTTAATGAACAAGTTCCTGTTTAATAAAAAGAATGAATTATTTTTGTGTTTTTTTTTATTTCTCTAAAGCTTTTGATACTGTATATAAACAAGCTCTTATGTATAGATTTTAAAAAAAGGTATTGGTGGAATTTTTTTTCAATATTATAAAACATATGTACTCTACTACAAAATGTGCTGTAAGACAGGGAAATTTTTATAGTGAGTTTTTTTTTATACTACATTAGGAGTCAAACAAGGGGACAATTTAAGTCCTACTTTATTTAATATTTTTGTTGACGACTTTGAAAATTATTTGGATAAAGTTATGACTTACCCTGTATGTTTAGGTGTTTTAACTTTTAATCACTTATTTTTTGCTGATGATCTTGTTTTATTATCAGAGTCAACCGAAGGTCTCCAGAATTGTATAGACAGTCTTTCAAACATTGTATAGAATGGAAGTTGCATGTAAACTTAGAAAAAACAAAGGTTATGATTTGTTCTACCAGAAAAATAAAGAAATTTATGCATTTTATGATAACAATAATAATATAAGTATTACTGATAAGTACAAATATTTTGGTATATTTTAACAATCAAATGGCAATTTAAAATATGCTTGCGATGACCTTGTTGCCAGAGCCCGAAAATCTTATTTTGCCTTAAAGCATAAACTACCCTTTGGCTCAAATCTCTCTCCCAGCTTGTGGTTAAAGCTATATGAATCAATTATTGTTCCAATTTTAACATACTCTTCAGAAATTTGGATCTCTGATTTTAATACAAATCCCAATAATTTTGATAAAACTCCTTTTGAAAAAATTCCAAAATGTTATCTTAAAAAACATCTTAGGTGTCCATAATAAAGCATCAAATTTAGCAACTAAAATTGAATTAGGTGTTTTCCTTTTACATACCAAAATTTACCAGCTTGTTTTTAAATATTGGAAAAATTAACAAAAACAAATAATAATTGCAATGTCTTACTCAAGAATGCTTACTTGGAAGATACTCCATTGGCCAGTAAAAATAAAAAAAATGTTGGCAAAGTTGTGTAAAATCAATACAGAAGATGTTAGATTTAACTTTGACACAGATTTTAAAACTTTTAGTCCTAAACCTAAAAATTTCTTTGATTTTTTTTTTTGAACTCCAACACATTAACAATTCTCAATGTGGTGAGCTGTCATAGTACATTATTCAACTATGATGCTAAGAAACTGGAAATCCAACCATACTTGTGTTTTCCACTTCATAAGAATTTATTATCTTATCTTTCCAAATTAAGAATAAGTGCACATAAGTTGTACGTAGAAACAGGTAGATACTGTAATCCTGTCATTCCTAGAGAAAATAGATTTTGTTTCCAATGTAAAACTATAACTGAAGATGAAAAACACTTTTTACTTGATTGTCCTGTGTATAAAAATGTCAGAAAAAAGTATTCAAGGTTACTAGATGTTAATAACTTATCTTGTTTGCTTAATCCACATAACTTTATATCTACGAAACAAATCTGTTTATATATCAGAGACTGTTTTGATATTAGAAACGAGCTTACAATAGTATAATATTTTGCAATGCATGTATATGGCTAACAACACATTTCTGTATATAAATATGTGCTTTAGTGCAAATAAAGAATTGAATTGAATTGAAATTAATGAAATACTGCTAGACAAATTTAGCATTAATTGTACTGCTATAAAGTTAAATCATAATGTATCTGAGTCAAGAGAAATTATAAACCGTTAACTTTAAATTTGATTCACCTACAATTTGTATTTCTATGCAACTCCCCCAATCATCAAAAGTATATTTGTGACTGGTGAACAAAACATTTTAAACTTGTTTATCCTGTTTAAAAACTACAGAATACGACTGCGTTTGCTATGGGTTAGGGGACGACCTTTGATCCAGAATGGAGGAGGGTCAACTTAGGTTTATTTTCATGCCAGGACATAATATTTATTTCCAACATGATCTGTATGGACAATTATTAATTTTTCTTTTTCACAGAAAATGTTCCGAAGAGCAAAGAAAAAAAAAACAATAATGATAAATAAACTGTCCAAACTCTTTTTCGTTTGGGAGGGGGGTGGGGGGGCTTTTATCGGTAGGCCAACAATTTTTTAACCTATATATAATACGTTTTATACTACGGGTTTCAAAAATTATTACTGTAACAACCTGTGGATGGAAATTATAGCTATTATTCAGTGAAGTTTTTTTCCCTTTCAGCCAAGTACATATTATTCAGTTTTAAAAGATTATTAGTCTCTATAATCATATTCATTTTAAAAAATCATTTGCTTTCTAATGCTTTATATCACTCTGACTGATCGTGAGACACACTATTTCTTAAAAAAAAACAAATTCATAATACTAGTAATTCTGATATCTCAAGTTTATCTTGAATCCCCGTTTGAACTCCTTAGACCTTGAGACTTATGCTTATGTACAGAGCTGATTTCAGTACTATGTAGTCTACTATGTAGTCTTGTACATTTCACCATTTTTCACATATCAAAATTATTCTTTTGCATGTGAGAAATCAACAGAGGCTAAAATTTGTATGCACATTAAATGAACAGGAAAAACAGATGATTTTACTTGAATTCCAGGATAAAAAGAGCTGTATGCTGGCAATATGAAAACAACTTCCAGTCAATTTTGTACAATCACTTTTTTATCTTTCTCACTGAAGAGCTCACAATTATCAAAGGGAGATAATTCAATTTCAGAGTAAATGTCTGCTATTTTAATCACAGATTCCACATGTTTATAGAGAGAATACCAACAAGGTTTTAATATGCCTTGTAAAATAAGATGTTATATTTCTTATCTCTGTGAGAAACATGAATTGAAGTAGCCGCATTTCATTAAAAACTTTCCCAAATATGTATTTTTTCAGAAAAAATCAACTTTAGACACTGTTTCCATGGTTACTACTCAACATCCATATATACATATATATCTAACTATATTTTTTGAAGTAGTTTATGAGGTGGTACTTTCAAGCCAAATTTTAAGAGAATATGTGACTATGCGTGCCACAAAAGTTTAGGTGGTTACAGAGAATGGGTATTAATTGTCAAAGATGGGAAACAATTTGCATAGTTGCTCTAGATAAATTTATGTAAAAGTTTATGTATATGTTATATTGTTGTGTAATGGAACATATTAGCTACATTTAGTCGAAATGTGTTTTGCACAAGCTAGTGAATTAATCAGGCCAGACAAATAGTTTTTCTTTGTGTACGTTCGCAGTCTTTGGCAGATATCGTATATTACATTTACAATTAAGATTAAAACAATATGTTTCGAACTAAGTGTAGTGGAAATAAACAGTTGAAGTTAAAAATTATAAAGTTTTACAAAAATGATTGTATTTAATATTACAATTTACTTTTTCTTCTTTTTAAACTTTCTTTTATTTTAAGAGGATATATCTCTTACAGAAAACACATTGGTAAAAGAAATTCTCAAGAATTGGCGAGAAGACGATATTGCCTTCATTCCTACAAGAGCAAGTGAAGTGGTTCAAGAAAAGCTTAAAAGTCATAACCTTATTACGGTGGTTGGAAATTCTGGGTCAGGAAAATCTGCAATCATTCAGCATATTGCACTTATTCTTAAAGAGCAGGGATGGAATATCATACCGGTGGATAAGGTGAAAGAAATTAAAAAGATCTGTTCAACAAGAGTCTCAGAAAATCGGATATTATTTGTATTCAATGATCCTCTAGGTAAGGAATCCTTAGATGAAATTTTATATAATTCATGGAAAAATTTAGAGAAAACGCTAGAGATTTGCTTGAAGAAAAATAAACTATTGTTATCATGTAGAAGGTGCGTCTTTTATGACAAGAGAATAAAGGGTAATTTATTGGACGAATCCACTGCAATAGAAATTGACAGCAAAGAACATGGACTGACTGTTAAAGAGAAAAAAGCGATTTTAAATCAGTATTCACAGAATCTGAAATTATCCGAGGAGGTTGTAACGGAAATAGTTAAAACAGAAGCTTACTTCCCATTGCTTTGTAAGCTTTTTTCGATGGAGACAAACTACAAAGAAAAAGGTGTTGATTTCTTTAAAAATCCGTACAGATTTATTAAAAAGGAAATAGAAATTTGGAAAAAAACAGACAAAAAAAGATTTTGCTCACTCATCTTGATAGTAGCTTTTAAAAACAATTTAAAAATCGATGCTTTTGTTAAAAATGATATTTGTTTGATAAAATTTAAGGAAGTTTTAGGAATGTGTGAGTTACAAGAAAATACACACATATCAGTAATTCGTAGTACTCTACATGAACTGAAAGGATCTTATGTCAAACGTGTAGGAAATTCTTTCCAATTCTATCACGACTTTATTTTGGAGATAACAACTCTGGTGTTTGGTGTTGATTGTCCAAAAGAGACAATACAGTACGCAGACAGTGGTTTTCTGAGACGTCGGGTGAGGATAGAAGACGATACAGAAGAAGAATCCCGCAATCCCTTCACTGTTTACCTTCCTGAAGAGTACATTGATGATCTTGTGGACAGGTTTATCATTGACATGCAAACAGAACACCTTATAGATGTCTTACACAATCCATGTTTGAGGAAAGAGAGTGTGATCAATTCTTTCAAGGAAAAAGTGGATTCGTTTGAAAATCTTCTTGTAAAAATTAAGTGTGAAAAAGACATATCGGAATTTCAAAGTTCATTTGAAAGATCTTTTTTCACAAGACTTGATTTCCTTTATTCATTTGAAAGTGAAATATGCCCTTTAGTTGGTCTTACTGTATTTTGTCATTCTGACATTTCTTCATTTTTCATAAAAAAAATCCCTGAAACAAAGCTAAAAGAATATCATATATTTACTGCTATATGTGCGAATGGCGATTTAAATCTACTAAATTCTCTCAGTGAAGAATATAAAAAAACAGCAATGATGGAAATATGGGATGTCTTTTTACCAATTCATGTTGCTTCAGTTTTTCATAACTTTTCAATAGTAGAGGAATTATTACGACTTGGTGCTGACGTAAATAAGTTAACAACTGGAGACCTGTGGAATCCGTTAATACTTGCAGCTGCAAATGATGAAGAGCATTTCAAAGAAACCAACACAAAAACTAGAGAAAGACGTGAAAATACAACTATATCCTTACTGAGCAACAGTGATAAAATCAATTTATGTGATATAAAGAATGGAGATAGTCATCCTTGTAAGGCTTATTACAGAGGGCGTGATAGCACGGTACAACTGTTACTGAACAACGGTGCCGACATCAATTTATGTACCAAGAATGGAGCCAGTCCTATTTGGATAGCTTGTCAAAATGGACATGATAGCACGGTACAACTGTTACTGAACAACAGTGCCGACATCAATTTATGTGAGAAAAACGGAGCAAGTCCTCTTTATACAGCTTGTCAAAATGGACATAATAGCACGGTACAATTGTTACTGAACAACGGTGCCGACATCAATTTATGTGATAGTGTTGGAGTCAGTCCTCTTTATATAGCTTGTCAAAATGGACATGATATTACGGTACAACTGTTACTGAACAACGGTGCCGACATCAATTTATGTAAAAATGATGAAGCCAGTCCTCTTTATATAGCTTGTCAAAATGGACATAAAAGCACGATACAGATGTTACTGAACAACGGTGCCGACATCAATTTATGTAAAAATGATGGAGCCAGTCCTCTTTATATAGCTTGTCAAAATGGACATAATAACATAGTACAACTGTCACTGAACAACTATGCCGACATCAATTTATGTAAAAATGATGGAGCCAGTCCTCTTTATATAGCTTGTCAAAATGGACAAAATAACATAGTAAAACTGTTACTGAACAACGGTGCTGACATCAATTTATGTAAAAATGATGGAGCCAGTCCTCTTTATATAGCTTGTCAAAATGGACATGAAAGCACGTTACAACTGTTACTGAACAACGGTGCTGACATCAATTTATGTAAAAATGATGGAGCCAGTCCTCTTTATATAGCTTGTCAAAATGGACATGATAGCACGGTACAACCGTTACTGAACAAGGGTGCCGACATCAATTTATGTGAGAAGAATGGAGTCAGTCCTCTTTATATAGCTTGTCAAAATGGACATGATAGCACGTTACAACTGTTACTGAACAACGGTGCCGACATCAATTTATGTGATAATGATGGAGCCAGTCCTCTTTATATAGCTTGTCAAAATGGACATGCTAGCACGGTACAACTATTACTGAATAACGGTGCCGACATCAATTTATGTCACAAGGATGGAGCCAGTCCTCTTTATATCGCTTGTCAAAATGGACATGATAGCACGTTACAACTGTTACTGAACAACGGTGCCGACATCAATTTATGTAAAAATGATGGAGCCAGTCCTCTTTATATAGCTTGTCAAAATGGACATAATAACATAGTACAACTGTTACTGAACAACGGTGCCGACATCAATTTGTGTGAGGAAAATGGAGCCAGTCCTCTTTATATAACTTGTCAAAATAGACATGATAGCACAGTACAACTGTTACTGAACAACGGTGCCGACATCAATTTATGTAAAAATGATGGAGCCAGTCCTCTTTATATAGCTTGTCAAAATGGACATAATAACATAGTACAACTGTTACTGAACAACGGTGCCGACATCAATTTATGTAAAAATGATGGAGCCAGTCCTCTTTATATAGCTTGTCAAAATGGACATGATAGCACGTTACAACTGTTACTGAACAACGGTGCTGACATCAATTTATGTAAAAATAATGGAGCCAGTCCTTTTTATATAGCTTGTCAAAATGGACGTGATAGCACGTTACAACTGTTACTGAACAACGGTGCCGACATCAGTTTATTTAACAAGAACAGATTCAGTCCTCTTTATATAGCTTGTCAAAATGGACATGATAGCACGGTAAAACTGTTACTGAACAACGGTGCCGACATCAATTTATGTACGAAGAATGGATTCAGTCCTGTTTATATAGCTTGTCAAAATGGACATGATAGCACGGTAAAACTGTTACTGAACAACGGTGCCTACATCAATTTATGTAACAAGAATGGAACCAGTCCTCTTAATATAGCTTGTCAAAATGGACATGATAGCACGGTACAACTATTACTGAACAACGGTGCCGACATCAATTTATGTGATAATGATGGAGTCAGTCCTTTTTATATAGCTTGTCAAAATGGACATGATAGCACGGTACAACTATTACTGAACAACGGTGCCGACATCAATTTATGTGATAATGATGGATTTAGTCCCCTTCATGTAGTTTGTAACAATGGACATGATAGCACGGTACAACTGTTACTGAACAACGGTGCTGACATCAATTTATGTATCAAGATTGGAGTCAGTCCTCTTTATATAGCTTGTCAAAATGGACTTGATAGTATTGTACAACTGTTAGTGAACAACGGTGCCGACATCAATATATGCAACAAGAAAGGAATCAGTCCTCTTTATGTAGCTTGTCAAAAAGGACATTATAACACAGTACAACTGTTACTGAACAACGGTGCCGACATCAATTTATGTAAGAAGAATGGAGTCAGTCCTATTTGGATAGCTTGTCAAAATGGACATAATAGCACGGTACAACTGTTACTGAACAAGGGTGCCGACATCAATTCATGTAAGAATGATGGGGTAAGTCCTCTTTTTACAGCTTGTCAAGATGAACATGATAGCACGGTACAACTGTTACTGAACAACGGTGCCGACATCAATTTATGTGATGAAAATGGAGCCAGTCCTCTTTATATAGCTTGTCACAATGGACATGACAACATATTACAACTGCTACTGAACAATGGTGCCGACATCAATTTATCTACGAACAATGGAGCCAGTCCACTCTATATAGCTTGTGAAAATGGTCATGATAACATGGTACAACTGTTACTGAACAACGGTGCCGACATCAATTTATGTGATAATGATGGATTCAGTCCTCTTTTTAAAGCTTGTCAAAATGGACATGATAGCACGGTACAACTGTTACTGAACAACGGTGCTAACATAAATTTACGTGATAAAGATGGAATCAGTTCCTTTTAGGTAGCTTGTGAAAACCTCACATTCCAGCACAATTGAACCTCTATTAAATTCAGGTGCTGATGTAAATTTATGCAATAAAGGTCACTGCAGTCCATTGTACCTAGCATGTCTCAAGGGTGATGACAGTATGGTTAAACTTTCATTGAACAAAGATGCAGACATCAATTTATGTGACAATGTGGGAACCAGTCCACTCTACATAGCCTGTGAAAGTGGACATTACAGCACGGTCGAATTATTATTATTAAGAAATGAAACTCGTGTTAATTTATGCAATAAAGACAATAAGAGTCCACTGTATATAACATACTTATATGGACATGACAGTATCGCTGGACTTTTACTACAATTTGGTGCTGAGTTTTTATTCTGAAGATGGAATCAATGGTTTCTCAACACCAAGTGTGTTCACAATATTTCTGAGATATGGGGCAAAAATAAATTTAAGCTTTCATAAGACCTTGCAAAAATGTTAGAATGCTTGGAAATCGTGTTTTATATTTAGTTTACAAATATTTATTGCTTTTAAAAATTTGTGTGGATTCTTTTTTTTCTTTTGAATTTAGTAATTATTGCAGTACTGTTAATCGCCAAATTTTCTGTGACAATTGATTCTTTTGAGATGGATACTGAGTATGTAAAAGCGAGATGAAGATATTGCACTTAAAAGGATTTTTTTCTCTAGAGTTTTTTTGTTGTTATTTAATAGTTATACTTTTATATGCAATAATTATTTTATTTTTTTTATTTGTAAGAAATCACAAAAAAGTTCTTTTCAATAAAAAGTTTACGTATTCACAGACATTTATTTAGCTAACTTAGTTTTTATGTCAGATGGCTTTCTTTATTATATTGTACTACTACTATTTAAAGGTTTAAGCTATAAAAAAATCATTCCAATTAAGCGTCTTGTTTCAAGAGAGCAAAGTCTTCCGGCTACATAAATCTTTTTGTTCTTGTAAGCAGCAAGGGAGCAGTCGTTATTTGATATAAAGCTAAACCATAGCACTGTGTTTTTGTAATATTTAAATTTATTGTGTCAGATGAGTAATGATTATTTATTTGGGTGCAATTAAGGGCTTTATTTAAAAAAATCTTAACTATATATAGGTGACACATGTGTTCGAACTGTTATGTTTTCAACATATAGTTATATTCTGTTGATTAATCGAAATTCGTTTGAAAAAAATTATTTAATTGTATAAAGATTATATGTTCGGGGTGGGTGGGGGGTTATTTATCAAATATTCCTTAATATGTACAGATCATCACGGCATGTGTCTTTTAAGCCCCTGAACAACAATTAGCCGAAGAAGGTACGCAAAATTCTATGAAATAAAAATTCTCGTCACAGACACATTTCTTTTTTTTAATGCATGTTTTGCAATTGTCGATATATAATTGATTTCTTTTTTTTTCTTTTCTTTTCTTTTTTGAAATTGAAAATGTGTGCACATTTATTAATTTTGTGTGTTGATTTCATTTATAGTGCTTTGATTTATATTGTGCATTGTTTGAATTTGAGAATGTCTGTACATGTATATTAATTTTGTATTGATTTTGTTTGTTGATTTCTTTTATAGTGTTTTGATTTATATTATGCATTGTTTGAACTTGAATATGCCTGTACAATGTACATGTATTAATTTTGTATTTGTTTGTTTGTTTGATTTTTTTATAGTTCTTTGTTTGAAATCATGCATTGTTTATTAATCGTCATTCGGGATTATTCATTCCGTTTTGTTAGAATAGGAAGAATGAAGGAATGTTGAAAATATATATGTTTGTGCAAAATTGTTTCTCTGAGTTAATCTAAAATTACATATCGACAATTACAGCACGATTTTACAATTGAATTTGAAATTTAAAATGATGCAATAATCTGGCATACGTTATTGTGAAACATGCAAATTTTGTTTATGTTTGATACTGTATATAGTACATGTCAATATATTTTCAAAGTTGTATGTTATGCAGTTTTATATTGTGTGTTTATGTGTCAGAAAATATAAACTATCCTTAAATGATTTCATACTGATTGCTAGATCATCATTAATACGCTGCATTATCGTCCGTTTTTTCAGGCAATAACTAACAGAGTTATGCCTTTTGGACTTAGAAAAAATATAATTACTTGGCAGGGATGGGGATTGGAGATGGGTTGTCTTAACTGTTTCACATACTGCTTGCTAAAGTTTTTTTGCGTAGATTGTTTTTCTGTATACCCAATCAGTAGAAAGTTTGATCTTTTTAAGTAATGATGCTAATTTCAATTATGTTATCCGATATAACATAACTTGGGGCAGTTTACGCATAAAAAAGCGTAAACTGACCCAAGTTTTGTTTTAGCGGATAATATAATTTGAAATTAGCTTCATTCCCTATAATTTAATTCCAGAGTAAACAATGAGATAATATTTCTTTCGGAAAAAGTTTTCAAATCGAGCATTATTTTAAAAGTAACGTCAAGCGGAGTAATACGTTTTTGACGTAACTCATTGTGACGTAGGCAAGTTATGTTATACAAAATGTTATATATTCCTCTGAATGATTCAGCCAATGAACTTGCTTGATACAAATGAAGTAAAATTATAAATATATATCTTAAACAAAACTTAAATACATTTAATGAACTAGTACAATTTGTGATAATACAAGGATGTGTTTATCAAATGCGTTCCGGAATAAGTAGATTAAAATAATTTCCGGGAAATATGTTTTATCATATTTTTGTGTGAAATGCTATATCAACATATAAGTTGCGTTATCATACAGAAAATTTGAAAAATATTAAACTTCATCCGTGTTTCAGCATCTTTAAGGACCTTTGAAATTTTAATTGTATTTTATCATTTGTCTTAATTTCGTTTCATTTCATCTATCCTATCATCTTCTATGTTCTATGTGATTATCCTGAATCCTTAATTAAAAAACAAATTATATATCTCTAGAATGGTCACGTCCTCTTTCAAGAGGCGATAATTGAGAAATAGCAAAAATGTAGGAGTATCTTTAAAAATCTTCTCAAAAGCCATTGGCCAAACGAGTAAAACTTAAAGAAAACCTTCTTTTCATAGTTTCGATTTAATTTTGTTCAAATGATGAACCCAGGGTTAGGGTGAAGCCACAATAAGTGTTAATTAATGTTTTATAAAAGAACAAATAGGAAAAATCTGGATATTTCTTCATCTGAAGAGAGCAATGGTTGATCATGTTAATAAGGAAGAATCCTTGCATAACTTAGATTCTAATCTGTTTAAATGATGACACTGGGTTAGGATGAGGCTACCCATGGGGATCAAAGATTTATTTTGCCATATATAAAAAAAAATTTAAAACCCTCTCAAGGACAGCAAAGCTATGATTAGTTATATTGATATTGAAGCATCATCAGAAAGTGTTGATTTTGGATTGTTTAAATGATGACCCTACCGCCGGGGAAGGGTAAGGCCAAGTAGAGGATCAAAGTTTTACAAAGCTTTCATTAGTCGTCTTAAAGTGTTTAAATCATGACCCCAGGAGGTAGTTGAGAGCTCAACAGGATGAAATATTTTAGGAAAAAAAGAGAGAAAAGGTTGAGCTTTCTCAAGAACAGCAAAGCCATGATAATTCATATATTTCAAAATCATTTGATTTTATATTTTTATTTATTATTTATTTTGGTTTAAATTAGGACTTTAGCTGACTATATAAGATATTTGATCGTGTTTATAGCACACTACATTTAATATATAGTGAATTCAACAAGAGACTTTTGGCCAATTTTCGTTGATTGAATACAAATTTTAGGTTTCGCGGATTAAATTTCGTGTATTAATTTATATGTACACATCTTAAGGGACATATGTCTTAACTGTCTGTAACGTCCCTGTGTATCATTTCCAGGATCAAGGTACGCACAAATTCTACGAAATGAAAAAAAAAATACATAATTAAAAATCATTTAAAAAAAATAAACGTCTAGGGCTTTTGTCAAATCATCATTGCTATTTTTTTTTCCTTTTTTTTATTTTGGTTCTTCAAAATGTTTGGACAGTGTATTAATTTTGTTTGCTTGATTTGTTTTCAAGAACTAATAAAGTACAGGAGTCATAGCGGGAGTCAATTTCAATCATTTCAGTGTGATGACTGATATATATCGTAATAGTCTGAATTTTCACTAAATAAAATACAGGAGTCCACAGCGGGAGTCAATTCGCGAATCGCCGCGCTTTCTGCAAGACCCAGCCCCTTACCCAAACTACGTCACGGATGCTGAGGTTACACAAACATCTCTTTATAAAAATGGCTGCAAAAAGTCAATATCAACACTTTTTTGCAGTTTTATCCGACTTACCTTATGAAATATCCGAAAATTATATAGAGGGAGAAATTTCAATGAAAGCAAGGCAGCAAGGCTTTAAGTATTATATTGAGAATTATTTCGAGAGGGTGTATAAAAGCGACAAGTAGAATGAAGTCCCAATTTACACAAAATGTCACCGCTCCCAACGGAAAAATGACTCTCTGCATTCTTATAATCTAGACGTATCACCAGGATCCTTGGGTTTGGCGCATTGTTCATGCACAACTTGGTATGTTTTGTTTTAAAATTGATGCATGTGATTTACAACGAATATTCCGATATCTTTGCTGTGAAAATCGTAAAATTAAACCCGACACTCGTTCTTTTTTTCAGAGCCAGTGGGTCATGTTCTCACATTATTGGCTTGCTGATGGATTTTCAGCATTGGATTCTGATGGGTTTTAAAGCAGTCCCTGATAATCTAACATGTACTAGTTTACCCCAGCAGTGGACTGTGCCAAGAGGAAGCATGATTGAAAATTCTGCTGCTCCCCAAATTTGCATTATCAAACCCTACCCTGATAGAAAACAGAAACCTTTAGAAAATGTTTTGACAGAATGCAGGTATTAACCAAAAATATCATTACAACCTAATAAAATTAAATAAATTACTATTAGCCACAATTAAAATGTGTAATTTCTACTTGCATGTATTTATAATCTAATTTTTAAAGTTGCTTGATTAAAATTCATTACCAGGGTACATTATATTTTTAGGAAGATTTCTGTGCATGGGGAAAATGTTGACCATTTAAAAGCCTTAAAAGGATTACCAATCAGTTACTTGGTGTCTAATTCCATGAAGAGGAAAATGACCCATTTGGGTGAAATCAAGTCGTACAACAAATGATTCATATATGACACGTTTCAGATCTAATCTTCTTTATCTTAGTTGGAATAGGAAGCGGTCTAAGCACACATGTATATTTTGTACTATAATTTAGATTATTTTTTTCTCTCTCTATTTCTCAGGCAGAACAAATATTTTAGTACTATAATTAAGTCAATATTTTTATACTTTATCATGTTATATACCGGTACATCATGTAATTAAATTTCATCAAATAACAACAATATTACATGTATGCATATACCGGTAAACATGAATAAAATATATATACATTAAATACTGAAGGTAATGCGTTTAGTCAAGAAAATGTCCCATTACATTTATGAAATGCAGGTTAACTGGTTAATATTTATTTAAAAAAAAAAAAAAATAAAAGCTCTGACTTAGGTTTCGTTTTTAATGCCAGGACGAAAAAAATTGGAAAGCATAGCACATGCAGACATACCATATTTGGTTAATCAAAGTAAATAAAAAGAGTTTGAATTTTCGAGATAAAATGTTAAAACGTTTGATTCTCTCAATAACTCTTTCAATGTGAACTCTATGTTTAGCTATTTTGTTGGTTAGTAAAGCATCACTCTTGGTCATTTGTTTTCCAATGGTTGCAAAGAGTGGAATGTTTAATTGCAGCCCACATTTCTCTACTTCCATTTCAATGTTAAATCCTTTATCTGCCATGAGTCTATCTCCTCGGAGTAGATAACCCTCATCCAACAAGTCTTTGAGCATGTTTTCAAACTTCGATCGAACAAAAATATCCTTATCAGAAGGATATGGAAATAACGAACAGTATTCAATCTCAACGTCCATTAAACAAATATACAAAATAAGAGCAGAGCAAACACGGACCTCCGAAACATCAGAGGTGGGATCAGGTGCCATGGAGGAGTGAGCATCCCCTGCCGACCGGTCACACCCGCCGTGTGCTCGTTGTCATAATCAGGAAATAACGGAAAAAATCCGTAGTCAATTCAGTGTAAAAATAATGGACTAACAATTGATATGAAAAACGTCAGTCAGCATTTTATTCAAGATAAATTGTATTTGCTGACAAGGTCATTGTATCGACCATTGAATTTACGAAATGATGACTTTAAACGAGACTGTTGATATTCTTGTTTCATCAACTTGCTTGTCAATAATTTACCTCGTTTAAGAAATTGTTCATACGTAGAGCATGCTCTTGCGTATCGAATCAACTGAGATATAAATACTCCGTATGCAGGTGATGAAGGTATATTGCTGCATAGGTAAGGGAAGTTGACGATAGAAAAGTTAAAGTCATCACGTTTATCATATAGCTTGGTTGTTAGATTACCATTAGTGTCTATCCAAGTATGAAGCAGAGGTGTCGGACTCTGTGGTATTTTTTATCTCAAGCTCACCAGGATATATCGTGTCGACATAAGAATGGTAATAATTGTTGTTAATTGACAATACGTCGTCGATATATCTAAATGTCGAGTTGAAGGCAACAGCAAAAGATTTTTTCTTTTCACGTAAAAGTTTTTGAACAAATTTTGCTTCATAGGAATAAAAAAAACGTCTGCTGATAACGAGGAGCAATTGGTACCCATGGGAATTCCAATAGATTGTTGGAATACCTGGTCTCCAAAAACCACATAGATATTGTCAATCAGAAACTCAAGCATCTTCTTGATGTCAACTTCAGAGTACTTATGTGTGCAATCAGAATCTGTTTTAACAAAATAATTTTTCAAATGACCAATGACGAGGTAAGTAAACTTACGAGTTCCATTTTTGTTGAAGAAGCAGCTGTCAATGATATCAAAAAGCCTGGATTTTAATTTGTCGTGCGGAATTGTTGTGTATAAAGTTGAAAAGTCGTAAGATTTTATGCTGTTGATTTTTGTAAAGTCTTGTGATTTCAAATTGTCCAAAAGTTCTTTTGAATTTTTAAGTATCCACATCTGATTTACACCACTTCTTGAATATATAGTTGTACAGTACTCTTGAAGTTTTTCCTTCACTACTGTCAATATTTTAGTGAGAAGTAACGAAAGAG